AAATTACAGTCTGCTGAAAAATTGCACAAGACATTTTTCGCGAAGAAGACCCATAATGCATACAAAACCACAAGGTGAAAAATACAGATTCTTCAACAATTCAGATTCTTGGCCTTATTTAGATTAAAAATTGGGAAAAATAATAGAGAAGCACGATGGCATAGATTGTGTTTAATGTGGTTAAAGGAGAAAAATTTACGTGAATTTTCTTTGATATGTTATAATATAGGAAATCTGCCTTTTTTATTTGTTTTAGTTAAAACGCAGGAATTTCTGGGATGTAGCTTTGTAAAATTTTTTTTATAGCAGCCCCGAACCAAGATCTCTGACAGATATTTGTGACGGCCAGAAAAGATCGGCTCTAAAAATAGTATACATAAGAAAGGAAAGATGAAAAGCATGCATTTTCTATTCAATACCCAGCTACAGAAGTCCCTTAAAGATGATATAGGTTCAATTCCACACTGCCGCAATAAAGCGAATGTCACAATAAAGAGAATCACAGGATTTTTTTTAATTTTGGTTTCCTAGTGTATACAAGAGTTATATTTACAGTATGCTGTAGTTTAAGTGTGTAATAGCATTATATCTAAAAAGAAATGTGCATACCTTAATTTTAAAAACTTCATTGCTAAAAAAATATTTGCTAACAATCATCTGAGCCTTCAGTGAGTCCTGATCTCTTTGCTTGTCGAAGGGGCTCTTGCCTCAATGCTGATGGTGCTGATCGATCAGGGTGGTGGTTGCTGAAGGCTGGGGTGGTTGTGGCAATTTCAGAAAATAAAACACCAGTGAAGTTTGGTGCATCGATTGGCTCTTCCTTTCACAAATCATTTCTCTCTAGTATGTGATGCTGGATAGCGTTTTCCCCACAGTAGAACTTCTTTCAAAGTTGTAGTCAATTCTCTCAATCCCTGCCATTGCTTTATTAACTAAGTTAATATGTAATATTCTAAAGTCTTTGTTGGTATTTCAACAATGCTTACAGCATCTTCACTGGGAGTAGATTCCATCTCAAGAAACCACTCCCTTTGCTCATCTACAAGAAGCAATTCCTCAACCATTAAAGTATGAGTATGCGATTACAGCCATTCAGTCACATATTCAGGCTCCGCTTCTGATGCTAGTTCTCTTGCTGTTTCCACCACTTCTGCAGTTACTTCCTCCACTGAGGTTTTGAACCCTTCAAAGTCATCCATGAGGGTTGGAATCAACTTCTTCCAGAACCTTGTTAATGTTGATATTTTGACCTCCTCTCAAGAATCACAATTGTTCTTAATGACATCTAGAATGCTGAATCCTTTCCAAAAGTTTTTCAATTTATTTTGCCCAGATACATCAGAGTAATCACTATCTATGTCAGCTGTAGCTTTACAAAATGTGTGTCTTCAATAATAAAACTCGAAAATCAAAATTACTTCTTGATCCATGGGCTACAGAACGGATGTCGTATAAGAGGTATGAAAACTACATTCATCTCCTTATGCATTTACATCAGAGCTCTTGGGTGACCAGGTGCATTGTCAGTGAGCAGCGATATTTTGAAAGGGATCTTATGTTCTAAGCAGTGAGTCTTAACCATGGCCTTCAAATATTCAGTAAACCATGCTGTAAACAAATGTGCTATCATCCAGGCTTTGTTGTTCCATTTTTAGAGCACAAATGGAGTAGATTTAGCACAATTCTTAAGAGCTTTAGGATTTTTAGGATAGTAAATGAGCATTGACGTCAACTTAAATTCACCAGCTGCATCAGCCCCTAACAAGAGAGTCAGCCTGACCTTTGAAGTCAGGCATTGACTTCTCCTTTCTAGCTATGAGAGTCCTACATGACATCCTCTTCCAGTAGAAGGCTTTCTGGTCTACACTGAAAATATGTTGTTTAGTATAGTCAACTTCATCAATGATTTTACCTAGATCTTCTGGATAATTTGCTGCAGCTTCTATATCAATGCTTCCTGATGCATTTGTACTTTTATGTTATGGAGGTGGCTTCTTTCCTCGAATCTCATGAACTAACATCTGCTAGTTTCAAACTTTTCTTCTGTAGCTTCCTCGCTTCTCTCAGCCTTACCAGGACTGAAGAGAGTTAGGGCCTTGCTCTGGAGCAGGCAATGCTGTGGGGCTGGTTTGATCTTCTATCAAGACCACTAAAACTTTCTCCATGCCAATGATAAGGCTTTCTTTCTTATCATTTGTGTATTCACTGGAGGGAGATTTTTAATCTTCTTCAAGAGCTTTTCCTTTGCATTCACAACTTGACTAACTGGCACAAGACATTTAGTTTTTGACTGATCTCAGCTTTGGGTATTCCATCCCCAATAAGCTAAATCACCCTAACTTTTGACTTAAAGTGAGAGCTGTACGACTCTTCCCTTCTCTTGAACACTTAGAAATCATTGCCTGGTTATTAATTGATCCAATTTCAATATTGTTGTTTCTCAAGAAATAGGGAGGTTTGAGAAGAGGAAGAGAATTGAGGGGAGCAGCCGGTCAGTGGAGCGGTCAGAATACACGTGGCATTTATCGATTCTGTTCACCGTCTCATGTGGGTGCAGGTCATGGAGCCCCAAAACAATCACGGTAGTAACATCAGAGATCACTGAACAGAGATCACCTTAACAGTTATAATCGCAATGAAGAAGTTTGAAATATTATGTAAATTACCAAAATGTGACACAGAGACAAAGTGAGCACATTGCTGTTGGAAAGATTGCATCAATAAACTTGCTAGATGCAGGGTTTTCTTCACTTTGTAAAAATGACACTATCTGCAAAGCACAACAGGGCATATTGCAATAAAATGAATTCTGCCTCTTGTCCACTCACAATGTGCACCAAGAAAGGGAGCATTCTTCATGTCCTAAGAAGACCCAGTCTGCTGAGTTCTGCGAACATTGTCCAACTGAAATACTCTTTGAAGTATTTCAAATTAGAGTATAGTATACTATAATTATTTTTTTCTAATTTCTTTTTGTAAATTATCAAGGTATACTATAATTATTTTTTTCTAATTTCTTTTTGTAAATTATCAAGGTAAATATATTCTAAACTTGCACAAACATACAAGGGCTGTCTGGAAAGTATCCAGCTATGTAACCATTCTCATTATATTAACTATGGCTGGATACTTCCAGACAGCTCTTGTATGAAGATAACAACTGAAGAGACATGTCTTCTTCTATATTTGTCCCACTGTCAGGAGTAACTGCATTACAAGATTTCACTTTATATATGTGTGTGTGCATGTGTATATATATATATATGTACATATATATAACAATTTTATGTTTATATAAATAAGTATATAGCTCAATAGATAGACATGCATTGTTTTCTTATGGTTTATGTAACATGACAATCGACCAAGTGGCTTAAAAAATAGAAATGTATTCTCTCACAGTTCTGGAATCCAGAAGTCCAAGATTAAGCTGTCAACAAAATTATGCTACCTCCAGATTCTTTAGGGAAGATCCTCATTCCTGTCTTCTCTCTGTATCCCTGTGTCTCTCATCTCCCTGTCTTTTCTCTTCTAATGACACCGGTCCATGAGTTTAGGGTCCCCCCTTAACCCAGGATTATCTCATCTTGACATCCTTAAATTAATAAGATCTGCAGAGACCTTCCCCCCCCCACCCCCGAATCAGGTCAATTTATAAATTCCAGGAGCTGGGACAAGAATATATCATTGGGGAACACAATTCAACCCACTACAATGCTTGTGTGCATGTGTATATCTACACACACACACACACACACACACACACACACACACACACACACACACGGATTTACAAATCTGTAGCTTCAGACAGACTCCCAGCAAGGAACAAATGGAAGCTTCCAATTGGGATACTCTGAGAAGAACTTGACAAAAGGACTATTTGTGTACAGGACAGGGTAGGATAGAAGAAAACCAAGAGGGATAGTGGAGCTCCCAGGGGCCACAGGGCAGAGAGGAAGAAGCTGTTAGGAGAACCTAGGTGGAAAAGTTGTTTAAGGAAAAGCTGCCCTGAAGCGAGCACTGTCCTCCGGTCAGGGTGGCCGTCCTGTGCTCCCTGAGCCCCGTCTCACACAGGAGGTCGCATGTACACAGAGCAGTGGAGAAGAATGAGCCCAGGGGAGCAACGTATAGACAAGGGATCAGTTGGCAAGATAACACGAATAATTATTTGTCTTAAAAGACACAGGAATTGAAGATTTAAAAAGGTCAGGTTTGCAGCTTTTCATTATTAAAGTTATTGAATATACAGAGCCCTGTTATATTTCCTTTTAAACATATTTTAAATAACAAAATATTTCTGAATTACTCAGAATTAAATAGTATCTGTGTGCGCAAACACACACACACACACACACACACAAGGGCAGTCCAGAAAGTCCCCAGCCATTGTTAACACAGCACGAACAGTTTGCAGGACATGGGTGTAACCTGGCAGCCAAGGCGAGTGGACTGGGATGTGCACGCGTGAACGATGACGGCTTCACTGTGCCAGTCAGTGGGGCACTATACGCCAGTGAGTGAGCATGTGCACTGTGTGGCCAGGGCAGTCAAAATGACAGAGCGAGCAGAGCGACAAACCTGCATCAAAGTTTGCGTTAAGATCGAACATTCCTGCGAGGAAACTACTGGGATGATTCAGAAGGCTTTCGGGGATGATGCAGTGAGTGCGGCACAAACAAAAGTGGCTGTGAGGGAAAATGCATTTGTATAGGCAATAGGTTTCTTAGGCCAAACTAAGGAGACTGCTGCAGTGTTCTTCCTGGCCCGGCACCTCAGGTAGCAGGCCCCCACAGGGAGGCACGAGTGAGTCAGCACACTGATGTAACCGAGGTGCTATCTCCTATGTGAACCCGTGTGATCACGCTTTCCCACGGCGTGCTGCCACTATTGTTCAGAGCCTTATAGAAGCACTCGCCATGTTCGGCGGCCGTGCCTTTTGCCGCTGCTGTGTCTCCCAGACAATAAAGAGCACGTCTCACCTGCCCGCTGCCACTCACCTTTTCTTTGAATTTCTGAAGACTGTGCCAGAGCACGCGCTATCCACAGAGCCCCCTCCTCACAGCGGCGCAAACACTTCGAAGACATTCGAGAATCTGTCGTTGAAAGTGATCCACGTTCTGGGAGACCTGCAACAAGCAGAACACCTGAGAGTGCTGAAGGTGTACGGGTTAGGTTCAGAGACGCTGGGAGAACTGTGTGAGGTCCCAAGGGGCCTACTTCGAAGGGGATTGAGGCGTCATTGTCCCATGTACAATGTTTCCCATATCTTCTATCTTCTTCAATAAATAAATATCTCTATTTTTCCTATGTCACATGGCTGGATATTTTCCAGACAGACTATAGATAGGTATGATTGCCCCTGCCTGGGATTTTGGAATATTCACTATTCCAAACTTAGAATATTCAAGTTTGGTCTTGGCTTAAAATTAACTGTGGAGACAGCATGTCATTAAGTAAACAATGACGGAGGATAACGTTATGACCGAAATGACAGAATAGAAATTCAATACGGTGAAAGTCATGTCCTGTAAATACACTGGTTAAGAAAAGTGGCCTATGTCACTAGATTCCTTTCTGGCTTCTTCAAGTTTTGCCAGTGGAAGAGAATGACTTATTGTGCTTTACACGTTTGGTTAAATTGCTATATGTCATGTTAATAATTTGTCTATTCTGTCACCAAGAATAACACATGTTAAACAGATGTATTCTGCAGTTGAGTGCCAGAATTAGGCCTTCCTCATGGTATAAGTTATTCTTTTCCTATATAGAAGACACACGAGGCTTTTTGCCTTGGGTGACCAAATGATTCGCTTTTTTTAATTTATTTAATTTGCACTGAAATCTGCTTGGGTCTCTGTTATAAATAAAGAGATCTCATTTGACTGACTCATACTGTCCATCTATTTTCTGAGAACTAGAATATAACAAAATATATTCAGTACAAAAATCTCACTGGCCTAATTGAGTTTCCTTTGCCCACTCCTATACCTTAACAAAATCCCCAAATATCTGAGGGTCAGCTTTATGAATCTTGACTTGATAATGCAGATTCTTAATGAACACTTCTGAAAGGGAATGTTTCCAGTGGTAGAAATGTGTGTGAACTGGTTCCCGTTGTGTTGTGTATCTAGTAATCTTTACTGAGGCGCCAAAAGAGAAAGTGCCAAAATGAACTGTGAGACAGACCACCTGCGGGGCTTTCAGATGTTCAGAGCAGAATGACTGGGCGCCGTGTCCCCAAGACACCCAGCAATGGTGTTCAGCAGAGGAGCTGTCGAAGGCTCTTTGATAAGAGCTGTTGGCGTCCTGCACACCCTACCTCTAGAGCAAGGGCAGGAGGTTCCTAACTCTCACCTTCTGCCTAATGAGATGGGCTTTGCCCCGACCACCTGGAGAGGTCGAAATGTGTCCTCTGAACCTTGGAGGTCACGGTGGCTTGTCTCTGAATCAAGCCCGTGAATTCTCCAGATGGGGACATAAATTGTGGCGAGCTAGATTAGCCTTCGTGTCAGGAGTTTGTTCAGAGAATGAGTGGGTGTTCCTAATGGACCACATGCAAGCGATGTACCAGCTGGCGTGGAGCCATCTTACGAGCTTTGCTATGGGCCTGTCCCTCAGCAAAGGAGAAAGTGAGGTAGCAGGAAATGCAGAAGTCAGTGATTCCAGAATAGATGGGCTCTTCCACAGCAAGGTAAACAGGGTTTCTGAAGAATCCATAGGATGGCCACCAGAGCAGGGCTGGGCAGTCATTTTATAACAATGCCAGGCAGTTAAACTTCTCTGTCCCAGATCCCCTGCCAGCAGTAGAGTCAGAATGGTTGAGCCCGGAGGAAGGGGAACTAAAGGCAGAGAGCAGCCATCCTCCCCGACGTGGCTCCGGCCCTGCAGAGGCCTGCCTGGGGAAGGAAGGCTCACGTGCTAGATGACAAGCGGATTGGAGTGCGCGTCCCAGTCTCTGAATCCAGACTGGGTTTTGTTTCTCGCAAAGACTCTAGCCTTATGAATTACCTGAGAATAATCAGAAAATTCTTGGGCCTGCCAGAATTTTCATTCGGGAACACGGTAAAAACTTCCTCCATTACACAGACTTCACAGGGACCATGGGAGCCCCAGTACAAACAGCCTCCCGAGAACCTGCTGCCTGCTCAGCACCCTCACGACATGTCGTAGCTGCCAGGTGGCCTGTTTTGTGCAAAGCACTGTGAGCTCTGGGGCCAGCGGCTCTGCCTTTTCACCTATGTACCCTTATCCTAGCTCAGCAGGTGGCAACTCAAAGTAACCGGACAGTTTACATTTGTGGGATGAATAACTTAACAGAGGCCCAAAACTCGTGCATTTAAATTAGTGTGTGGTGTAGTATCTGTGTGTGTGGTGTGTGTGTATGGTGTGGGTGGTGTGTGTGCTCCCTGTGTGGCACATATGGTGTGGGGTGAAGTTCTATGAGTATGGTGTGTAGTGTGTATGTGGTGTGTGGTGTGTGTGGTGCAGTGTCTGTGTGCGTGTGCGTTTTGTGTTTGGTGTGGGTCGTGTGTGTGCAGTGTGTGTGTGGTGTATGTGTTGTGGGTGTCTATGAGTATGGTGTGTAGTGTGTAGTGTGTGGTGTGTGTGGCACAGTGTCTGTGTGTGTGTGTGTGTGTGTGTGGTGTGGGTGTATGGTGTGGGTGGTGTGTGTGCTCCGTGTGTGGTGTGTGTGTGTGGCGCAGTGTGTGTGTGTGTGTTTGGTGTGGGTGTATGGTGTGGGTCGTGTGTGTGCTCTCTGTGTGTGGTGTGTGTTGTGGGTGTCTGTGAGTGTGGTGTGTAGTGTGTGTGGCATGCAGTGTGATGTCTGGGTGTGCGTGGTGTGTGTGCTCGAGCATCAGATTGTTCTATCACCAGACCCCGCCCCGGGGCTGCCCTGTGGAGCCTTCTCTCCTTCTTCCCTCCATGTCTTCCCCTCCACCTCCAGGTAGGGAGCAGAGGGCCCCATCTCCTATCTGTCACAGACCTGGCTTCGGAGGCAAGGAGAGACGGCCAGGCTTGGGAAGGGCAGAGTCCACGTTCCCCACTGAGTTTCAACAGCAGTGGGAGAAGCCTTTCACTGGCCTCCCTCCCGAGTCCACCGTCAAAGAGAGTGCAGCCAAAAGAACTCAGGCGATAACAGAAAGAAAGAAAAGAGCTCCTCGGGACTGCGACCACAGCGAACTCGGGATTTCAGGAGCAAAGCAGGGCGCTCTACAACTGTGGTCCCCAACTCCCCTGGCTGCATAACGGCACTGTTCAGTGGCCCAACGGCTGCACAGCAGGAGGTGAGCGAAGCTGCACCTGCACCCACAACCCCACCTGCGCCCACGGCCCCACCCGCGCCCACAACCCACCCGCGCCCACAACCCACCCGCGCCCACGGCCCCACCCGCGCCCACGGCCCCACCCGCGCCCACAACCCACCCGCGCCCACAGCCCACCCGCACCCACAACCCACCTGCACCCACAACCCACCTGCACCCACAACCCACCTGCACCCACAACCCACCTGCACCCACAACCCACCTGCACCCACAGCCGCTCCCCGTCACTCACTCCACGGCCAAGCGCTGCTCCTGGTCAGAGCCGCCCAGCCTCAGACCCTCACCGGAGCGGGAACCCCAGCGCGCACTGCGCGTGCGCGGACCGGGCTGCGCTCCGCGCGAGATTCCCGCGCCTGACGCTCTGAGGTGAGGCCGAGGCGCCGACCCTCCCCTCCCCCACTCCACGCCACCGGGTCTGTGGGAAACTGTCCCCCACGAAACCGGCTCCTGCTGTCGGAAAGGCTGGGGGGCCGCTGCTCCAGACCGTCCAGCAGCGTGGAGGTGGGTGGCCGGCGTCGGCTGTCCCGCTGGAGGACCGAGCCGGACCGCAGTGGAGACCGCACATCCGGGACCCCGGCGCCTGGCAAAGCCCGGTAGTCACCGAGCAGCCTGGGCCGCCTGTGACGGAGTTCAGCGGAATGAGCCAGCGGCCCGGGACTGCCCCGGGACCCCAGGACGCGTCTGTTCGTTGGTCCATGCTGCTGCCCTGTTTCCCGGGAAATAAGACCTCCCCATAAAACAAG